CGGTGCTATTCGACGGCGCGGTAGTTAACCCTGCTCGCGAACACGGTCTTCCTCGGGTCAGATCGTCTCTCTGTTATCCGCCGCTTATCGCTCTCTCGATTTCTGCCTCGATTCGTTACTATCCGCGTCGGGGATCTGCTCTCTTCCACTTCCTCGGTATCGCACCGAGCCGTTTAGGTGAAAGCTTACCGCCANCCGAGAGAGATGGAGGGAGACGGAGAGATGGAGCGAGATGGAGAGAGATAGGGAGAGAGAGAGAGAGAGAGAGAGAGATGGAGAGAGATGGAGAGAGATGGAGAGAGAGAGAGAGAGAGAGAGAGAGAGAGATGGCCAGAGATAGAGAGCAGGCACGCCGGATAAACCAGGAAAGAGACAAAGAGTATACATAGATGTACGCTCTCCTTCCTCCTCGGTCGGTCTCTCCTTCCCTCCGTGTGTTGACCTCGCGTAATTTTTACCATCTTGCTCGGTCTCTCGGCTCCTCTCGTCCCTTTTTATATTCTCCTCGACGCGTCCCGTTGCTCGTTTTGGTTCGGTTCGGCTGGCCCGAACGTTTGCCCGTGCGGACCGGCCTCTATCCGCCTTCGTCGTCCTCCCATTGTTGCATCGCTGCTCCAACCCCGCAAGGGAAACAATGTCTAATTTCAGTTAATGCGCCCGTAATGGCCATTATGGTTGCCTCGGCAGGCCGCGCCGCGCCGTGCCGCACCGTCGCGAACGCGAACGCGAACGCGGAATGATAAAGCGGAATCCACGTTGTAACTCGAGTCGTATCCATCTCCGCGATACTAATGCCCGACAAGGCCCGATATTCCGTTTCAACGGCAACGGCTCCTCGCGCGGCGAGAAAGCCGAGGACTCCGGGGCCCGGTCATTTCCCGGCGAGCCAGCGAAAGATGAAAGCGGGATTCGGAAAAGGCGACGCGGTCGTGGTCGTGGCCGTGGTCGTGGCCGTCGTCATCGTGGCCGGGCACTCGCAATTAAGGGTTAATTAAATTGAGCGGCTTCCTAGATTTCTGTAATCATCGCGGACAGTATCTACGGGGTAATCTTGAGCGCATCCTGTCTGCCTCGGGGGCCCCACGGAAGGAAGGGGCCCCCGAGGTAAGGTCATGCACCCCGCTGACCTCGGACCACCGACTCGTCCCCCTTTTCCCCGCGGGACCCCTTCCCATCGTGCTCTCTTCTAGCCCCCTACCAACACACGGTTCACCTCGCCTCGCTCCGCTCACCGTCCCTCGCCGCGGTTCGCGATCCTCCAGCGATCCTCCAGCGATCCACCAGCGATCCTCCAGCGATCCTCCAGCGAGCGTCCTTCTTGCCTTTAACGTTCCTCCTCCCTTCCTCCTTCCTCCTTCCCTTCCTTCTCTTCATTCCCTTCCACTCTCGCTCATCCTTCTCGACCTCTCGTTCTCATCTTCGGTCAGGCATCGGCATCGGCATCGGCATCGGCATCAACATCGACTTTAGCTTTGGTTTCAACTTCGACTTGGTTCGTCTTCTCATCTTCGCGGCACCTTCCCGCACCGTCCCCGGCACCCGGTACCACCGATACCGGTGCTATTCGACGGCGCGGTAGTTAACCCTGCTCGCGAACACGGTCTTCCTCGGGTCAGATCGTCTCTCTGTTATCCGCCGCTTATCGCTCTCTCGATTTCTGCCTCGATTCGTTACTATCCGCGTCGGGGATCTGCTCTCTTCCACTTCCTCGGTATCGCACCGAGCCGTTTAGGTGAAAGCTTACCGCCACGGGTCACCCGAATCGTTAAAGGCGGCTCGTTAAATTCCCCCGAGGATCCAAAATTCCTCGTGCGGTACGATTATCGGCGTCCTGATCTTTTGTTTGCGTTTTAAGTCGTCGATGAATCCGTCTCTTTTGTCCGCCGTTAGTAGATCGTTTTTATTTTATCTCGTAATAATAATAATTGTTATTAATAATAATAGTAATAGTAAATGACGATAATAATAATAGTTATTATTATATAATATACTAATTACTATGTAATAGTAATAATAATAGCCATTATTATATAATATACTAATTACTATATAATAGTAATAGTAATAGTTATTATTATTATTATAGTTACTATATTATATTATTACTATAGTTACTATAGTACTTATAGTATTAGTATAGTTATTATTACTAATAATAATAGTTACTATTAATAATAATAATAGTTATTATTACATATATATTAATAGTAATGATAATAATAGTTATTATCATTACTATTATTAAATAATAAAACCCATTTTAGTCATACCCATTGTAATAGAAATGAAGTAGAAGTGGAGCAGTATTTGCAAGCCTAATTAAGTATTGAACAAAGGATTCTATGTATATCGCCGCATGAAGATCGCGCGCAAAAGCAACGTAATCCGTGTAAAAGTCTTGCAAGTGGTCAAAATTGTTTACGGTTATAACCATTCCGTTAAGACAATTGTACACGTCGTACGATGTACCGTGGGACCCTCGATGGAGATTACATCATCTCGAACATTCATCATACTATTTTCAAACAAGAGAATTCTACCACATTATACGGCGACAATAACAGTCTACACAGGGTTTTTCTTTTACAAATGTTAACATCTTCTGCGAATAGTTCGATTTCTTCTCTATCCCAGCGTGTTTCGAGCGTCAGGTGCATCTTAACCACGACTCCTACTGTTAACCGTTAACTTGCAATGTATTGCATGTTGTGCAAAGGGATTTCTTCTGTTAAATGAATAAATTTTGAGTGTCTTTACTCTTCTTGTTATTCTTGTCTTTCTCGTAGATTGACTCGATTTACGTTGCTTTAGATTGCTTTAGGTTGCTTTAGGTTGCTTTACGTTGCTTTACGTTGCTTTAGGTTGCTTTACGTTGCTTTACGTTGCTTTGCGTTGCTTTACATTGCTTTACATTGCTTTATGTTGCTTGACGTTGCTTGAAGTTGCTTTACGTTGCTTGAAGTTGCTTTACGTTGCTTTAGATTGGTTTACATAGGTTGGCGTTTACGTCTGTCTACACAGGTTTCCGTCGGTTTACGTCAATTTACGTCAGTTTGCGTTGGTTTCCGTTGCTTTACGTTGCTTTACGTTGTTTTAGGTTGCATTACGTTGCTTTACGTTGATCTACGTTGCATTGGGTTGCTTTAGGTTGCTTTACGTTGCTTTAAATAGGTTGACGTTTTGCTTTCCGTTGCTTTACATTGCTTTACATTGCTATACGTTGCTATACGTTGCTATACGTTGCTATACGTTGCTTTACATTGCTTTAAATAATTTCACGTTGGTTTACATAGATCGACGTTTACGTCTGTTTGCATCTGTTTACGTTGGTTTACGTCAATTTACGTCGGTTTTCGTTGGCTTACGCTGCTTTACGTTGCTTTACGTTGCTATACGTTGCTATACGTTGCTTCACATAGCTCCAAGATACATAGGCTGACACGGGTCTACGTTAGTTTACCTCGGCTTGCACAGATTGGCATTACTTTCCGTCGATTTACGTCAACATACGTCAATTTCCGTCGGTTTACATTGGTTCACATTGGTTTCCGTTCGTTCACTTCGATACACGTTGATTCGCGTCTCGGAGCCAGTGGGAAGACAGACGCGGAGTTGCGTGCCCCGCAAACGCATCGAATTATTTTCAAAAGTCGAGACATCGTCCCGTATAATAAGCGGACGTAGCCGCGACGCGACGGGGCAGAAAACGCGCGCGGCGGCAGTCGTCTCGTGGGAAAAACGCGACGCGAGGTCGCCGCGCGTGGAAAAAATATTGTCGACGGTGCGCGCGTACTTTGAATTCTTCCTGGGAAGACGGTCGCACATCGGTCGAATTCTATGCCCGGCCAGCAATGTCCTGTCTCCGGCGTTTTGCGTGCTCCTCGTCCTGCGACCCGCGACGTACGCGCGCGCCGAGTCTCTCGACTCGACTCGACTCGACTCGACCGCGCTCCTTGACCGTCCGTGTCGATGACCGTCTCGCTAGCGTTCGCCTCGAACAAGGTCAGATGCTATCTAGCCGCGCGATAGGTAGGGAGAGGAAGAACGACCGAGAAAGAAGCGCCGAGAGGGAGCGGGAGAGAGCACGGAAGACGAAAGTCGGCGCGGATGGTGGATCCTGGATCGCGGATCGCGGTCGGCCGAGGGCACCTACACGGAAAACTCCGAGGAAATTGGTCGGCGAGCAGGACAGCGGGGACCGATGGAACATGAGCGGGGAGAGCAGCGAGAGAGGAGACGCGAAGGGGGGAGGAGAGGAAGCAAAGCAGGGTGTCGAGCTGTCGAGGAACCGCTGCGAAACCTCGGACGGAAACGAGCACACCTGGGCCGAGCGTTAGCGCGAGTACGAGCGCGGACGTCGGTGACCAACTCGTGCGTGCTCCAACAAGGTCAGATGGTATCGTGCCGCGAGCAGCCAAGTTCACGAGGAGAAAAAGGAACGAATCTCGGAAGGGGAGTGGCGTGGGAACCTCTCGCAAGTTTTCGCGGCTGCGTGCCTCGGCTCGGAACCACCAGCGAGCAAACTTTCGCTAGGGTTTCGCGCCGAATGAACGCGCTGCTGACCGGAAGGAAGGAATGCCGACGCGGCGCGGCCTTTGGTTTCCCGCTTAGACGATCAAGCGATATTAGAGTATCGATGCACCGGCTCTCTCTCTCTCTCTCTCTCTCTCTCTCTCTTGCTATCTCTGCTTTGAAACAAACGTCGAGGAGCTTCCCTTCGCGAGAGCGGCCGACGCGAACGCGCCGCGTCGCCTCTCGTTCGACGAGTGTCAGCGATACGCTCCCGTTCACAGGGCGCAAATCGAAACGCGATTCCGTCTCGGCGAACTCTAACCTTACGAACTCCGACGTATCATTTTCACGACTCATTCTTAGGCCTTGCGGTCGATCCTACTATCTTCGAGTCGCGCGCCTTTCGACGGAATCCCGGCTGTTCGCGACTCGGCGGCGCGCGAAAACGCTATGGCGGTCTATCGCGAGCAATATTGTTCGGTACGTACCTTCCCGTCGCATGCCCATCTTCAGGCACTTTTTCAACCGACAAAACTGGCACTGATTCCTATGGTGCTGGTCGATGGGACAGTTCCTACTCCCCCGACACGAGTACGTTAGGTTTCTCCTGACGCTCCTCTTGAAGAAGCTTTTGCATCCTAAAAAGAGGCAAAGTTACAGTTAAACATCTCGTCTACTTTCCTCGGAATTATTTATTGCAACTGTCAGAATCTCTCTCTCTCTCTTTCTCTCTCTCTATCTCTCTGTCTCTCTTTCTCTCCCTTTCCATTTGCCAACTCTTTCTTACGCTCGTTAAAAATTACGGGACTAATCGCGAATCGGAACGTGCGAGGCCGAACGATCGCTAAAAGCTGGGCCCGTGGAGCAAGAGATCTCCTCTCGCGCGATTTTCGGTTCGTTTAGAAGCGCTCTTTTGGAGAAACCGTTGGGCGATATGGGACAATGCGGGACCACGCAACGCGTTTCAAGACGAGTTTCGCGGAACGAGCCCGGATCCAATTCGTATCGCGGCCGTGACAACAAGGAGCCTTCTGTACAGAGAGCTTCGGATCCAGATAAACGAGATCCCCCGATGGCAGAACGATGATCGGGGATCGTCGCGATCGCGGTCAATGGCAATCGTCGGCTTTCTTTTACTACGTTGGCGATCCTTCGTTGGCATTCTAAAACAACTCTTCTGCGACAAATATTTCTTTATTTCTATAATATCTATCTACGAGTAAAAGAGACGCAGACCTTTCCCATTCCTAAGTATTCCATAGTAAAGGAATATACAGGGTGTCCCAAAATTATGGTATTTTCGGAAAATAAGGAGTTCCTGAGGTGATTTGAAGTAACTTTTTCCTTTACAAAAATTTTTTCCGAGGCATCGTTTACGAGCTATTAATGAACAATAAGGACCAATGAGGAGCGAGCTCGCCTGGCGCTGGGCGGCCGAACCAATGAGCAGAACTGGATTTAGTGCGCTCGTTGGTTGGGCCGCCTCGCGCTAGTCGAGCTCGCTTCTCATTGGTCAGTGTTTTTCGTTAATAACTCGTTAACGATGCCTCGGAGAACATTTTTGTAAAGGAAAAAGTTGCTTCGAATGACCTCAGTAGTCTCCAATTTCCTGTGAGTATCATAATTTTGGGGCACCCCGTATATTAAAGTGATTCAATTGAAATAGATATATTACTTAGCGAAGATTTGAACACGGAATACGAATTATCGAAAAGATTATCGTACATACGAACGTTCCTGTGAAGCATAACTATATAGCTGTAACAGTATTAAAAACTCCGTAACAAGTGCGACGATGATAAATATGTAACAGTTCATGGTAACGAAGATTTCTACTAGGTATAATAAATTCTCCCGAATTGTGTTTCAGCTTGCAAACAAAAATGGACAATTTCGGAAGAGTAGACACGATTATTCGAGCCTCGCGGCTCATTTTTATAGTTGCATCTCCTCTTCCCAAATGGTCCATTTCTGTTTACAAGCTGGACAATTCGCGAGAATTTACTGCACATTCTACCTTCGATGATTCAATCGTAATAACGAAGCGGCTACAGTAACGTCTCTCTAATTGACGCTCAGATTGTCTACAAAAATGGACAATTTGCGAAGAGAAGATACGATTATTCGAGCCTTGCAACTCGTCTTTATAGTCACGAATTGTCAGCAACTATAAGAACGAGCTGCAGGGCTCGAATAATCCAATAAAATCGAAAAATTAAAAACAATCCAAATAATCGAATAATTAACCTCCTGTTCCCAAATTGCTCATTTTTGCGCGCAATCTGAGCGTCGATTAGAGAGACATTACCGTATTTTCGGCCTGGTCGGGCAAAAAATCGCAACAGACGAGGTTGATGTTTGCGAGAAAAGTTCTGGGTCGGTCGAGTATTCGGTAACAAAATCCTATTGGGCGAGTTGGCGACGGCGACGACAACGACAATGACAATGACAATGACAACGGCGACGAGCACGAGCGGCCATCGCACCGTGAGCTCGTCTGCTCGGCACTCCGGTTGCACCCGTCCTCCTGTTCGTCTCGGTGGTTGTCAGAATCTTTCTCGTCGTCGCAGCCGTTCGCATCCACGTCGTAGTCGTAATCGTTGTCGTCGTCCATGTTACGAAAGAGTCTCTGGGGTCGCCGTAACTACAAATTGCGTCGTTACACGCAAATTACGCGATTATAGTACGCGAGCCAACCTCCTCCGGGAGACACTGCGTACGTGCACCGAGGTGGCGCGAGAGAAATCGGAGAAATGGACCCGGGCAAAAGGGGGAAACGGAGGAAGGTTTTCTGCGAAGGAAGGCGCAAAGAGAAAGAGAGAGAGAGAGAGAGAGAGAGAGCGAGAGAGAGAGAGATATGGAGAGGAGACACGTTGGAGGCAATAGGGGCGCAAAGGGAAGGAAAGTGGAAGAGAGAGTGAGAGAGAGAGAGAGAGTGAGAGAAAGAAAGGGACTCAGACAACTACTGTTTATACTTTCAGATTGCAGCTTGCACGGCCCTGGAGAGCTCAAATTGTTCGCGTCATTGAATTTTCATTGCTGCGGCTCGTTCGCGGCCATTCCATTCCGAGTAGTAACTCGAAAGAACGTTTCCCGGTTCGCTTCGGAAGTACGCATCGGAGCGGACCGCGTGGACCGCGCGGATCGAGTTCACCGCGAGAGCGATTCGATAACGATTCGACTCGGCGCGTGATGCGACCACGCGACCAACGCAAGAGATTCTGCGTGATATCGCGTCACGAGAAATCGCCGAGAAAGAATAGTTGTAGAGTTAGTTGGGAGCGCTTCGGATAGGTTGACGTTAGTTACAGTCAATTCTCCCCAAAATCGCCCCTTCAGGTTGTAGACAAAAATGGACAATTTGGGAAGAGGAGATACGATTATTCGAGCCTCGCGGTTCGTTTATATACTTGCCGACTGTCGATAACTATAAAAACGAATAATCGTATCAACTCTTCCCAAATCGTCCATTTTTGTTTACAAGCTGAGGGACAATTGGGGAGAATTTACTGTACTCGGATAGCTGGAGATTAGAACAAGCAGCATACGGTATCATACAAAGTATACTAAGACAAATGCAAAAATATACAACAAAATACAAATTACGAAAGAAGTAACAATCAAAATACATATACACGGTGACCCAAAATTGTCTCGCAATCCGAAAGTGGCGGGTTCCTCGGGTCATTTGAAGCAACTTTTTCCTTTAGAAAAATTTTCTCCGAGGCACCGTTAACGAGTTATCAACGAAAAACAGTGACCAATGAGAGACGAGTTCAACTGGCGCGAGGCGACCGAGCCAATGAGCGGAACTGGGCTTCCTGCGCTGGTTGGCTGAGCCGCCTCGCATCAGCTGTACTCGATTCTTATTGGTCACTGTTTTTTTTTTTTTAATAACTCGTTAACGGTGCCTCGGAGAAAATTTTTGTAAAGGAAGAAGTTGCTTCAAATGATCCGAGGAATCCGCCATTTCTGGATTGCGAATCATTTTTGGGACACCCTGTATACGAAGAAGTAACAATCCTATTAAAACACTCTGCGGATCAACCAGTGAAGTTCGCGAAAAATTCACTTTTTAGGAAATATTTAGTATTTTCAAAGCTAACAACAAGATTTTGATAACAAGCATATAACTTGTAATTTACTATAGTCAGCCAGACGGATCTGACATGCAAGATACGCAAGGGTCAACGGTGGTAGCGCTAATCCAGATCTGACGGAGTTGGTCGAGAAATGCAAATTGAGAAAAGCAAGAAATTTTAACGAAGAGAGAGAGAGAGAGAGAGAGAGAGAGAGAGAAGGAAAGTAAGAGATTCTCCCCAGCGTCGCAGAATTTAAAATTTAATTTAATTTAATTCAATTTAATTTAATTTACTCAATAAACAGGAAAAACCATTTGGAGCAAGCGTTGCAAGGTGATTCGCAGGTAAATTCAGAGGGAAGCGCTCGCTGTTTAAAACGATTAAACGGGGAGAACGTGTCGAACGCTTCGCTATAACTATGTACAATAATGTCTCTCTAATTGACGCCCAGATTGACCACAGAAATGGACAATTTGCGAAGAGAAGACACGATTATTCGAGCCTTGCGGTTTATTGTTACAGTTATAAATTGTCCACAATTATAAAAACGAGCCGCGAGGCTCGAATAATCGTATCTCTTCCCAAATTATCCATTTTAGTAGACGATCTGAGCGTCGGTAAGGGAGACATTAATATATTCGCATCGACGAGGACGCGACGCGTGCAATTCTGTTCGCCAGAAGGGAAGCGTGTGCTAGTTTACGTGTCGGAGAAATATTTTCCGCGAATGCCGGCGGAATGCCGGGCGAAGGGAGAGGAAGGAAGAGGTCGAAGGGAAGGAAATCGACGGGGAAGGACGTGGCGGGCGAGAGGAAGCGGCAGGACGATTCGATTCGGTCGGTAACATTTCGAGTTGGCCGCGTAGAATTAACGACATTGTTATAATTAATTAGCAGGCCGGGGCGGAGAGGCGGCACGGTGCGGCGGTCTGGTGGAGTGGCTGGCTGCGGGGCGGCGGGCCGCGGGGAGGCGCGCTGCTCGGAGCGGAGCGGCGCGGCGGGTAGATAGCGGGGGCTTCGTTAGCGAGATAATTGGTCACAGAGGATGCGTTCGGGATGCGTCGCGCTTCGTAATTCTATGATCGATGCAAGCGCTGCCGCCGCAACCGCTGCCACCATCAAGGTACACACCTTGGTCGAACGGTCGAACGGTCGCGTAGTCGGTCGGCGCCTACCCAAACACGTGGAAACGCAGGCACACACGCGCAGGAGACGAGAATCGGCGCGGCGCGGCGCGGCGCGACGCGGCGTGTGCAACCGCGTAACGCGCTTTTGCCTCCGAGATCCTGTTGCCGTTAGCCAACGTCTTGCCCCTCGTGGACTCTCAGACGCGAAGGCTCTAAGCCTCCGAGGTTCGGAGGAAGCGAAACTAACGAGAACGACGCGGCGCGCGCTCGCTCGCTCGCGCAACATCGCGCCGCGTTCCTCTTCCTTCTCCTCCTTCTTTCCATCGCCGGACGATGCACTCGCGTTGCATTCCCACCTTGCCCCAGTGGTCGCGTGACTAGGAATTTTGACCGGTTGCGAACCTCCGGAGAGCGACCATTCCGCACACCG